CAGCCGCCACCATCATCATCATCATCATCATCATCATCAGCAGCAGATCCAGAAACGTCATCATCATCCGTATCGTTAACAGCACCATTAGCAACATCATTGTAAGTTCTCTGTTTCTCGAAGCCACAGGGAGTGCAAAAACGCCATTCTAGTAGCAGTTCGCCCGGCAGCCGGGCCACCAAAAACCACTGGAGGCCGCGCTTTAAGATTCTCAAGCGCAGCGAATCGACATCGCCCGAGACCTGTTGCGCATATCCGCAGAGCGGGAATGCTTGGGAGGGCGCTCGAGCAATCAAGACCGCGGGAGCGAGAGACGCCGCGACCTGCCAGGCGGCCCAACCCCGAGACATCAGCCAACAACAACGTGCTGAACACTGCCAATGTGAGACCTCTTTTTCTCGAGGCCAGAAGGGGTGCAAAGACGCCCTTCCAGCGGCAGTTCGCCCGGCAGCTGGGCCACGAGAAACCACCGGAAGCCGCGCTTGAAGCTTCTCAAGCTCGGCGACTCAACATCTCCGAAATTGTTCCGAAGCACCAGCTGGCCGCAGGCACCGAATTATCCGAATGTTTTGGCAAGCGCGTTGCAATGCTAGGTCGCCACGCAATGGACGAAGGCAGTGCAGGGCGCGGAGGGATAAGGCTCTGCTAGCTTGCTATACTTGATACCACAATGATGACAACCTGAAATATCAACGTGTCTTTTGTTGGTGGAAGAACAGACTCCGCGACCCGAACATTTTTAGGAAAGAGAATGGCACGCGAGATGGGCGCACACGAAGCGGGCGCGCCTACGCCAGGGAGCGCCCCGAGCGCAGTAACATGCGACGCTACACCGCACGCCTGCAGACCGAGAGAAGAGGTCAAAGGCACCAACGTTCCAGAATAGACTCGAGCGCGGGTTTCCGACAACACACGGACTGTAGAGTCTCCGACAAAAATCTAGCAGACTGGCGGCATCTTTACAAAGACGACGCGCGGCACTGACTGCGCGCCAATCAGGGCGGACAGGGATGGACGGCCAAGAGGGAAGGCCTGCGAGCGGACAGGAGAGAAACGACAGCGAAGAGCAGAGAACGAGGAGCAGGGAGGAGCGAGCCAGATGAAGGCAATAGACCATCTCGCACCCAGCCGCGAATTTCCGAACTAAGCTCTCATTTAGAAGATCGAAACGGGGCCCATGCCTGACATCTACCTCCACAATCGCGATGAGACAATGGGCGGCGCAGCGGCGCCGCGCATTAGCTAAGCGGCCCGACCCTGAAAACATCTCGAACGCAACCTCATCCCCTGTCATCCGCGCGAGCGGCGCGGCATCCTCAAGATCCTCGAACCGACGTTGCCGACCGCGGCATGGGCCCGCCGCTGGGAGTCGGCGGGGGCGCGCTGTAGCTGGGTCGGCAGGGGCCCGCTTTTCTCGTAGTGGCGGGCGCTGCCGTCGGCCGCCCAGCGCCCGCGCTTCTTGATCTCGGCCAGCGGGCGGGCCCGAGTTGCCAGCTCGCGGCTGGCCCCCCCGCGACGCAGCTGGCGCAGCGCGGGTGGCCCGAGAGCCTCGAGGCCCACATCGACCGCGGCCTGGGAAAACTGGGCGGCCCACAGCGAGCACTTGAGGTCGAGCAGCGGCAGCGCGGCGCCTCGGCCAGCATGAAGCGGGGTCGGCAGGCCTCCCACCCAGCTGAACTCGGGGTTGTCACGGCTGAGCGACTCGTCGAACTCGCCGTCTTCGACGGCGCGGTGTTCTCTGAAGCGTTCAACAGGAGGGCCCGCGCTGCCAGCGCCCGTGGGCCCCCCGCGGGGGGCGGCGCCGCGCCCTTCACGCGCGGGCGGGGGATCTCCGACGGGCGGGTGTAGAACACGAAGCGCAGGAGGGTCGCGGCGGCTGCTAGGCATTGGCCCACGTCGCCCAGCTGCTCCGCTATCAGAGCTGCAAACGGCCACGGCAGAGGCCGCCGAGATCGGCTGGGGGCGCCCTTCAGGAACCCCGCCAGCGGTCGCCGGGCACGAGGCAGCTCGGGCGCCTTGGCTGACAAATCGCGCCCGCAGTAGGTCAGCGCGGCCAGCGGGAAAGAGCCCGCAGTGCTCGGGCGACCCTTGAAGAACTGGTCGGTGAAGTAAGCCACCACCGCCTGGTCGAGCCGGCAGGTCGCGTGCATCGGGAGGCCCGCGGTCGGGCACCACTGGGCGAGCTGCGTCACGGGCCTCCAGCGGGCGCTGAACCGTGCGCCTCTCGAGCAGAGTCAGGCCGTTCTCGTCGAGGGTCGGCTCCCGGCCGTAATCCCTCCGGCGGCGGGCAGCCCTCTCGGCGCGGAGATCGGACTCGATCCCGCGGGCTGGAAAGACCCGGCGCCCCGCAGGCCGCTTCCGGCACGCCCTCCGAAGCGTCGCTGGCGGACTCGGCGAGGGCGCAGCCGCCCAGAGCGGGGCCGACCTCGACGCCGAAGGCGCGGCCGAGTCGGGCTGCGAAGGCGCGGGCCCGTCGATCGCGCTGACCGCAGCCGTCGCCGCCCACGGGGGCACGCCGCGGTGCCGAGAGCGGAGGGTCGGGGCCGTCGGGCCCCTGCTGCCCGGTGGAAGCCTCGGCCCAATCACCCGCCCCCCGTCTTGAGCCGCGGTCCGGGGGGCTGTGCTCCGAGGGGGGCCACCTCCAGCGGGGCGTCGTGCCGAAGGCCAAGTGGGGCCTGCCATGCGTCTGCATACTCGCATCAGCTTCGAGGACGAACGACCCCTGGAGACGGCCAAGATGCCAGCCATGGCGCCCCCCAAGAAGAGGTGGCGCTTCCCGAAATTACGCAGGGGGCGCGTCTTGCGGAGGTGGGCCAAGACCACGACGCGGCCCTCGAGGATCACCTGGGCCTCCGAGCGGGCCCACTTCTTGGCGAGGACCCGGGGCAAGTTCCTGCCCCGCGCGTCGGAGCCGACGTTGGATGGCAGGATGGAGCCTGGATGCCGCGGGTGACCCGCAGAGGCCTCAGGAGCCACACCAGCAGCGGGAAAGCTGCCAAGAGGTGGCCAGGACTCGCGCGTGACCCCGAGGACGATAACCAAATTCATCTTGATGGGAGAACCTCCACCTCTCGTTGCACCGGCACATTGCTTCACCAAGCCCTGATGGAGTCTCTGCTGAATAATGCGCCCACCCCAGGATAACGCATCCACAGCCAAGACGCCCTCGGCCCAGATGGCGCCCAAGTCCCGAGGCGCCAGGAAAGTCGGCGCAGACGCCCATCATAGCTCTCGACGAACAGAGGCCCACAAGCGGCGGCGGGGGCCGGCGTCAGCTGCAAAGGTGATGCAGGCCGAGAACATGCGCAGTAATTCCCAACGCAAGAGAGCACGGGCACTGCAGGTGCGACACGAAGACAGCGAGACTCTCTCCGCTCGCGACCCCCCCCCGCATGATTTGCTGAATAGAAAGACGAATGCGCCAGGCCGCACTCGGGGACTTGCCCCCGCCGAGGCATCTTCATCCGGGATAGTCTATCCCCAAGCGGTGACCCCAGAGCCGGCTTCAACAGGACGAGATGGAAGATCGACGCTCAACCTCGGAGGCCACTGGCCCGACGACTTCCCGATCCCTAGCGAAGGCACAGAAGTTGTCGACGTACTCTGCGCGAGCGAAAGGGGACAGACCAGGGGGGGGCATGATCGACCACGGCATTGTTTCCTGCCGCCCCCTGCACTGAGAGGGGGGCCGGTACTCTAGCACTTGCCGGCAGGCTCGCAGAGGTAGCTCCCGACCCATGGGAATTACTTTCAGCGCGGTAAAAAACGCACTGCCCGCGTCGCGCAGCCCGACCGTGGATCGAGGCGACGCCAACCAGATCGGCTCGGACCCGAGGAAGACAAAACATAGCCCTGAGAAGGCGTTAACGATACCGACCGAGCCGACCTGGATGGGAGAGCCGCCGCCCACCTCGATGGGCGAAAACGCAGCTCCGAACGCCAGGGAAACTGGATCGCTATCGCGGAAACGGCACGAGGGCAGGCGGCCGCCCACAATCAGCCGAAACTCCCCTGACTTCTTGCACGCAAAGAACAAGCCGCAGGACACCTCGCCAGACAGTCTCCACTCGATCAGGTCGCAGCCCACCACGCGGCGCCACAACTCCGCGAACAGCGACGGCGACCTTCCGACGGCGGGGCCCGAGTAGGGCCGAGCGGGCCCACGCAGAGGGGCAGTCTCCCTGCCAGTGGATTCTGGCAAGCGTAATTGATTTAGACACTCAGCAACCTCTTTGCCTCGGTCACCTGCCAGATGCTCCAGCGATCGCAAATGGAGCCCAGCTGCCGGCAGGCCAACCAAGTGGACGGCGTCCTTGCTGAGGGGAGCGATCACGGCGCCTTTGCCCCAGGCACTCTTGGCCCGAAGCGCCTGAAGGGCCCCTGGGCCGCTCACGTCGCCTGGCGGGGGCCCTATGGCACAGACGGGTCACCGAATCAGGTTGAGACTGGCCTGCCGGCTGGCGGCAGGTGCACGCGATGACCTTGGGCAGCAAGAGCAAATCGCTGAGGTGCGCCAACGACCTCTTGGCACAACGCATCGACGCGATTGGTGCGAAGAGGCCGGCGACGTGTGGACCTGCAGAAAAGCACTGCATCTCCGCTCAGGTCTCCGGTCAAAACTGGCGGCGGGCGGGGAAAAGACCACAGATTGCGCTGCCGCTCCTCGCCCAAAAAGTATGGCTGGTAGCAGGCTGCCCGTCGAACGCCATCTCGACGCCCCCCCCCCCCCACGCACCCACCCACCCACCCTGAAGTACATGCTGAGGGCAGGGCTGAACGGGAGGCATATCCAATCCTGGATGGGGTAAGCATCACCCCTGCTCCTTGTCTTTGCTCCCCTTGTTGTTCTGCTTAGCGAGCTCCGACGGCTCTTCACGAGCATTGCAGACCTGCTTGAGGATGGCCGCATCGCGTTCGACCTCGCTCGCCACGTGGGCGATGAGGTCAGGGCAGACCATGGCGACTCCCGAGCCCTGTGCCATGTCCGAGAAGATAGCCACCTCGTCGAACACGGCGTGCTGCAGCGAAAAGGTCGGGTTCTTTCCCTTGCCCTTTCCGGTGGCGCGCGAGGAGAGGAAGTCCATGTGGTGCACGTATTCGACCAGCTGCGCCTCCCTCGTGAGCAACTCGAATGCGGCGCTGCTGCTCACATCGACCATATCTTAGCCCACGCTCTCGTCTAGGCAGCGCATCGCGGTGTGGTGAATCTCCACTCCCATTCATCTCCTCGTAGGCCGAACGTCATAGCCAGCGAGCGCTGATGTTCCAAGGGGCTGCCCTGACGGCGGAGGAGCCACTCTGCGCACCAAAACACCGTCTTCGGCCCTGGCACATGCCAGTCTGGGAAACTGGACCCACGCAGCTGCACGACACCCTGACCGAAGCGACCTCGAATGCGGCGCTGCCCAACAATGATGGTAGCCTTGCTGAAACGCAGGTCGTGGAAACTCTCCATGGGGACGTACTCGTCCAGCGAGTTGCCTTGAAGATCCCTGACCAGGACGGGGACCCCAGCAGGAGTGGTGAAGATGCTCACGCTCCCCTGCACAGTGTCCGCGGCTGTCATGATCACGGACTTCCTTCGCGGTCCGAAGGTTATGGACTCCACAATCACCCAGTTGGCTGCCACCGGCCCTGGCCCAATGGCAACGACAGGAGCGGCACCCGCCTGAACGAGAGCTCCCACACCCGCTGCCGGGACCACGAGGGCAACGAAAGGGATCAAGGCCCGTCCAGGCGGAGCCATCGCTTGAAGCCCCGCTGCGGCAGCCTGCTGGACGAAGAGGTCGTCGGCGGCCTGCCGCGCCTGGTCCATGAACGTAGCCAGCTTGGCCGGCGTGGGCTCTCGCCTAAACCGGTAGGTCTGGGCCCGATCGATGCCGGCGGGGATCGTGCGACGGTCCGGGGAGAACCTGACCGCCTGGTGGTCGCCAGTCGAGCCGTCGAGCACTCCGAAGTAGACGTCGGCGTCGGGCGTAAAACACACCAAGAGCAGATCGTTAACCGGATGCACTCCTTGCGGTAGCAAGCGCCCCAGGACTCGCCGTTGTTGCCACTCGCGACCCCCGCAGTGTAGGATCCAGGCCCAGAGCTGCACAGCCCCTGACGCCATTGCGACGGGCCGAACCGAAGAGACGAGAGCTGCGCGCCCCCGCGCTATCATCAGCGCAGCCCACGGCAGACAGCGCCAGGAGCACTGCGAGGAGCCTTGCGATGTCCGCGACGAGGCTGCTCGCCGGTGAGGCGGCAGCGGGGCAGGCGGGCGGCTCGGAGCAGGCCAACAGCCCTGGCGATGGCGCCCCTGAGCACCGAAGGGCACGTCAGCGGGCAAGTGTATGGCGGGCACTCTGGGCACACAGCGTTGTAGGACAGTGGCTAAGATAGGAGATCACACATGCCCGAACCAATCGGCCACGCAATGCCACATGGGCTCCGCGTTTCCGCTTGAGGAATCAAGAGCGCGAGAGCGAGAGACGCCGCGACCTGCAAGGCGGCCCAACCTCGAGACAACGTGCTGGACACTGCCAACATCATCACCATCATCAGCAGCATCATCATGATGAGAATCATCAGCATCATCATAATCGTGAACATGAACCTGAACACCAGCGTCATCACCATCATCAGACACAGCAGCAAAATAATCACAACATGATCATCATCATCAGAATCAGCATCATCATCATCAGCATCACCACCACCATAATCATCATCATCATCATCAGCATCATCAGAACCATCATCATCATGATCGTCATCATCATCATCATCATCATCATCATCATCATCAGCATCATCATCATCATCATCATCATCAGCAGCATCATCATACTCATCATCATCATCATCATCATCATCATCATCATAATCATCATAATCATAATCAGAATCATCATCATCATCATCATCATCATCATCAGCATCATCATCATATTCACAATCATCATCGGCATCATGCTCATCACCACCACCACCACCATCATCATCGTTAGCAGCATCAACAACAGCATCAGCATCGTCAGTGTCGTACAACCACAGTCAGCCTCATAGCCATTATCACCATCTTCTGCGTCGGCATCATCATAACCATCATCACCAGCATCATAATCATCATCATCATCATCATCACCACCATTACCTTCACCGGCATCGTCATCGGCATCGCCATCGTAATCGTCATCACCACCATCCCCATCACTATCAACATTATCATACTATTAGTATGATTCTTCATCAGTTCCATCGTCATTATCACCATCATCATCGCCGTCGTTGTCATCATAGTCGCCAACATCACCAGCATCATCACCATCGTCATCATCACAGTCATCGTCATCACCGCCATCACTATCATCAACATCACCACAACCAGAACCACGGTCATCAATTTCACCATCTGCATCATCAGCATCACCACAACCCATATCATAGTCATCAAGCTCATTCCCCATATGTTCGCCCCTTGGCTCCCCCAATCCCGAGCGTCCCCCCCCCTCCCGAGCGTTCCTGGCCCATCATCCGCTGCAGCTCGCTCGGTGCTCTCGTGCGGTCCACATCCCGCAGGGAAAGGCTTATTGTCTGGTCCATATCCTCGCCGGAAAGGGAGGGTGGGTGGAGGGGGTGGGAAGGAGGCAAGGAGGGAGGGAAGGGGGAGGCGGGAGGAGGGATGGAAAGGGGGAGAGAGGGGGAGAAGGGAGGGGAGGAGAGGAGAGGATGGACGAGACGACAAGGGGCGAGACGAGCGCGTTGCGCAAGGGAGATGGAGCCGGAGATGCGGGGGGGAGCTCCTCCAGAAGGCCACCGAGACGACCCGAGGATCTGAGGAGGCCATGAAGGAGGCTTGAGGTTCCCCCCCATGCAGTGATACGGCCACGCCCCAGCGTCGCCTGAGATAGATCTGTCCAGCCTCCTCCTCGTCCTCGTCCTCGTCCTCCTCCTCCTCCTCCTCCTCCTCCGCCTCCAACTCCTCCTCCTCCTCTTCTACTTTCTCCCCTTCCTCCTACTCCTCTTCCTCCTCCTCCTCCTCCTCCTCCTCCTCCTCCTCCCCTTCCTCCTCCTCTTCCTCCTCCTCCTCGGCCCTCCTCCTCCTCCTTCACTTCTTCCTCTCCCTCCTCCTCCAACTCATCCTCCTCCTGTTCCTGTTCTTTCACGCTAGACCGACCTGAACAGAAAACTGCGGCGCTAATGGAAGCGGGAAACCTGTAGAAACCCGACTTGGCGCAATACCTGGCGGGCGCCGTAGGTAAAGGAAACGGAAAAGCACGGCGCAACAGGGCACATCGAGTAGGCGCCCGCCGGGTAGGACAGGGAAACAGCAATGGTACCGACGTGTGCAGATCGGTATGTATGAATGGTGGTAACACAAGCTGGGCCCCCATGAAATCATTGGTACCTGCTGTCTCGGCAATTGCTAAGCGGCTGGGAACCAGAGAGGGTGTGGCTAGTAATTGCTAAGTGGCTGGCCAGAAATCCGCCGATCCGGCGTGTGAGTTTCAAGGAGTCTCAGCTACAGCCTCGAGGCTGAGCCTCAGCCTCTGGGGGGGTTGCCGGGGTGGCTCTGCCGGGGAAGGGGGGGTGGGGGGGGGGGGTGGGGGGGGGGCACCGGCGGATGCGTTTTACCCCCTCGAGTACCGAACTCGAGTACCACCCCTCCCGCACCAAGAGGCTCCGAGGAGGCCTCCAAGAGGCCCCAAGGGGCGCAGAAGAGGCCCCCAAGAAGCCCCAAGAGGCTCCCAAGAGACCCCCAAGAGGCCCTCTAGTGGCCCCAAGAGGCCCAAGAGGCCCCCAAGAAGCCCCAAGAGGCGCCCAAGAGGCCCCCAGAAGTCCCAGCCAACCACGAGATCCCAACCAGCATCCATGAGGCCTCTGACCCACCACCCACGCACGGTGGCGGGATAGCCCGACGGCCACTGGATAAATGCTGAGTGAGAGGAGGGGAGGGAAAAAGAGAGGAGGGACGAGGGCGAAGAAGGATCACATCAGTGGGAGCGCCCTGGATCGGCGGCACTGGCCGAAGGCCACTACAATATTGGCTGTCCAGGAATGCACTATATATATATATATGCCTGATGGAGGTGACAGAACAGCTAGCGATGTAAGGTATTAGTGGGGGCAAGTCTGGCATACCGCGGCCCACAGTAGGGCTGTCGCCCCTCCACAGGGGGGCAAAATGGCTTCTGCGCTAGCTTGCACCGATCCCCGCCAGAACCACCTGAATTCCAAGCTGTTAGAACGCACGCGTGAACACAGGCGAATTGAGAGCAAACGAGAGGAGAACATGTGAGCTGCATGTACGATATAATGAAGGCTGGCGCTTAAAAAGGCTGGCCTGTGAAGTGCCCCGTTCAGTAAAGCCAAGGACAAGTGCGTAGAGGGTGCCACACCCTGTGAGCCAGGGGGGTCCCAAAAGGGAGGACGGGGAGGCCGGGGAAGCAGGTAATGAAGGAGGAAAAGAGGGGTGAAGATAAACGCTGCACGAACTATAAAACGTACGGACACAAACAATGCAGGCATAGCTTCAATTCTCGGGTTGGTACCCAGGGTCTTACGGTTCATCCCAAATCTACATGGCCTCGGGACGGTCGTGTTGTTTGATGTCTCTTATCGGGTTTAGCACAAACCCGTGCACCAGTAGGCTCGCGCAGTAAACCTGGCTGGCCTGTACAAATTCAAAATAGCATGGCGGAGTAAACATAAATGCGAACGACGAGATGTAACGCAAGTTGTCTTTTTCGTTTTCCTCCTCCTCCTCCTCCTCCTCCTCACCCTCCTCCTCCTCCTCCTTCAACTCCTCGTCCTCCTCCTGCAGTGTCCCCAGTGTCCTCCTCGGCGGTCATCCAACCCCTCCCCCAGTCAGCCTCATCCTGATACTGCCCCCATACCCGCTTCTCGGTCTCAAACATTCCGTATCTACGACCTCGCGGGCCAAGACCGCCAGTCCGCGACCCCACGGATACTGTACGAGACGCTTCTGTTCGCAGACCCCCTACGACCGCGTGTCCGTCGGATCGCGCCCCGGACTCCAGACCGCGACGGCACAAGTATGGATGCGTCCGCCGCTCGTGGTCCGTCATGCCCCCCCTTCCTCTTGGGCGTTGCTGAATTTGGTGGGGATCACGAAAGGGGGGGGCGCAGAAACGTGCACTTCTCGCGCCCTTATTGGGACCCGAAAGTGTTCGACCGGTGCACCTTTCGTCGCCCCCCCCCCGTTTTACAATCAACTCGCATATTTCGGATGCGCGGTAAGGATGCAAGGGCTTTGGAAGGCCATGATGGCGTTTTCGAACGGGGCTCGCCGGCAAAAGAACAAGGTCGAAGGGGCTAGGATACAAGGGCCGCCTTCTTCATTCGTACCATGCGCCATGCGAGTTGAGTGCGTCGCCCACCCATTGAGCAACGCACGGTCCACCCCTGGGCAGCGGGGGCCCGGGCGCACGGACGGACACCGCTCCTGTGAGGGGAGCGTCGTCAGGTTCGCCTCCGCCTGCGGCGACGGCCCGTGCAACTCTGCCTCAACGCCGGGCGACCGCGGGGGCAACGGCGGAGGGGGAGGAGGACAGGGGGGAGAGGAAGGGGGGGGAAAAGGAGGAGGAGGAGGAGGAGGAGAAAGTGGACGAGAGGGAGGGGGGGACTGGATGAGGAGGAGGAGGAGGAGGAGGAGGAGGAGGAGGAGGAGGAGGAAGAGGAGGAGGTCGACGTGTACGACGACGACGACGACGAAGAACGGAGGAGGAAATACCCGACCGCCATCTGGGCGGCGCGCGGGCAGGCGGGGCGCGGGCTCACTGACTGCGCTATTGAAATCGATCGTGATATTAGAGAGAGCGTGATCCACCGCCGCTTTACTGTGGAAAATTGCCGCCCTTTTCCTCCGGAACCCGGGGTCCCCCCCTCCCTCCCGAGAATCCCCGCCCCCCCCTACTGGAACCCCCTCCCCCTTCCCCCCCCCCCTTCCCCTCAGCAGAACCCCCCCCCTACCCCCCTCCCCCCTCGAACTCGAAAACGGGTGGGGGTCACTACCGGTTCGAACCCCCCCCCTCCCCTCGAAAACCGGAGAGGGGGGGGGGTACCGGTTCGAACCCCTCCCCACCTACCCTCTCATCTCCAGCAAACGACTCCCGGTCCCTACCACCGTCCTCACCACATCACCCACTGTTGTTCCCAGCGCCACTGTCCTCACCACACTGTCCCCACTGGTTCCACCACCGCCCCTACTGTCCCCACCAGTGCCACCACCACTGTCGCGCACTGTCCCCCACTGTCCCCACCACTGTTCCCACCACGGTTCCACTCTCCCAACTTTCTCCACGACTATCCCCACTGTCCCCACTGTCCCACTGACTCCTCCGCTGTCCCACTGAGCTGTCCCACTGTTCCCACCACTGTCCCCACTGTCCCCACCACTGTCCCCACTGTACCTCTGTCCCATTTTCCCACCGCCGTCCTCGCCACCGCCTTCACCACTGTCCCCACCACCACTGTACCCTCCACTGTCCCACTGTTTCCACCACATTCCCACTGTCCCCACACCACTGTCCCCACCACCACCGTCCCCACCACTGTCCCACTGTCCCCACTGTTCCCACCATTTTCCTCACCATTGTCCCCACCACTACATTGTCCCCACCACTACCGTCCCCCCACTGTCTGTCCCGTCCCCACTGTCCCCCCACCACCACCGTCCCCACCTCTGTCCGCACCACCCCTCGGTTTTCGAGGGGGGGGGTTCGAACCGGTAGTGACCCCCCCCGGTTTTCGAGTTCGAGGGGGGGGGGGTTCGAACCGGTAGTGACCCCCCCCCCCTTTTCATGATGAACTGGGGGGGGGGAGGGGCTCGAACCGGTAGTGACCCCCCCAGGTTTTCCAGAGGGGGGGGGGAGGGGTTCGAACCGGTAGTGACCCCCCCCCGGTTTTCCGCCAGCAGCGTCAGAACACGCTCTTTCTGATATTAGGATCGTCACCGAACACACTCGTGCTCTTCGGACCGATACGCTCGGCACGAAGGAGAGGCAGATTGCAAAGCGCCACGTCCGCGGACACCTCGCACCGCGGACAGGCGTCCGAAAGCCTGCAGCCTGGCAACCAGATTCGGCGATGGTGTGACACCGAGGTCATTGCGAGAAGAAGAAGTGGATGGAGCTGCTTGGACTGGCACGTGGAAATGGGCGAAAGATGGGCTCTCCTCGAGGGCGCCCGGCTGATCCGCACAGCGTCTCACCCAGCAAAAACTCTTCCCTTGCCGATGCGTCGCTAATCGCACAACTCCTTGAGATGGCGCCTTCGATGACGCCCCGGTTGCTGCGCTGGCTGCGTCGCGGGCCCCATTGCTCCTGAGACCGCCGCTCCGGGTCTTCTCGGGCTCGGAAGCCCACGGCGCTGACGACGCGGCCTCCTTCCAGACATTGCCTTAGGTCGGGCATGTCCCTCTACACGCGGATTTTGGACGACAGATAATAAGAAGAAGAAGAAGAGGAAGAAGAAAAAAAAGAAGAAGAAGAAGAATAACCCCCCCACAAATACCCCCAAAGCTTTCAAAAATGTTCAAAAAATCGTCCCCAGACTATTTTCAATATTTTTGAAGATGAAGACTCCCCCTGTAGAGGGACAGGCCCGACTTAAACCTTGCCGCCCTTGGCGCGCTGGCCGCCGCTGCCGCTGGCACTGCCCTGGTCGGCCGCGACGCGCGCCTGCCCCAGACGGCCGGCCGGGGCCCTGCCGCCCGCGCGCTCCGCGGAACCCTGGCGGGGACTCCCGCTGCGGCGCATCGGCGAGCTCGCTGTCGCCGCGCTTGGCGTGGTAGAACGCTGGCGGCGCGGCGCGCGGCGCGGCGGCGGGGCCGGCGGCGCGCGGCGGCGGGGCCGGCGGCGCGGGCGGCATCCCCGCGGGCGCGGGCTCGACCGCGAGCGACGGTTCTGAACCGCGCGAGGCCTGTCCGCGGCCAGCGCGGGGCCCGAGCCGCAGCCAAGCCACGGGCCCCCGGCAGACTGGGCCCCGCGGCGCCGGCGGGCCTCCCTGCCCGAGGGCGCGAGCGCGCTCTTCCGGTGCTGGGCCGGGCGCTGGGCGAAGCACAGCGCCTTCGCGGGGATCTCTCTTCGCCTTCCAGGGTTGGGCGCTTGCGAGGATCCGCGCCTGCGGAGTGGATCGCCCGCAGCTCGTGGGCCAGCGCAGCCCAGCTCCGTTCTTCTGTTTTCCCAGGGGCCCGTCCGAGAACAGCGCGAGACGGGCGACGTGCTCAGGGGGGGGCGCTGAGAGATCCCCTTCCACGAATGCACTTCGCGACCTCGACGAAGTCATCCTCCGCAGACTGCACGGTGGAGATGTTCGTGATCTCCTCTGCTCTGCCGATCGCTCGCCGCTCGCCCCGCGCGGAGAAGCCGTCGTCGGCCTCGAGCGGCGGAGGCGTCACCGGCGTCGGCCTCCTTGCTCGTCGCCCGCAGCCGCGCGCGCGGCCGCGCCAGCGCCGGGGCCGAGTGCCTTGGAGCCGTCGTCATGGCCGCCGGGATTCTGCGGCGGCGCCGGCGCTCGCGGGGCCGCTCGCGGGCGCGGGGAGGCGAAGGAACGCGCTGGCGGCTGCAGCGACGCGCGAAATGCACCAGGGCAGGCTGCATTTCGGGGCGCCGCTTAGAGGTCGCTGGCGGCGGTCTGGGGCCCCTCTTGGCCGTCTTGGGGCTCTCTTAGGCCGTCTCGGAGCCCTCTTGGGCCGTCTTGGGACTCTCTTGGGGGCCTCTTGGGCCGTCTTAGGGCGATATCGGGGGGCCTCTTGGTCCATCGTGGACGCTGTCAGAGCCGGAGAAGCGAATATAATGCACGTTTCCCGCAAGGAATCTTGATGATAGTTGCCTCTTGGGGGCTCTCTGACTCTGGGGGGCCTCTTGGGCCGTTAGGAGTAGCAGGGGGGAAAAGAGGAACGCACCCGCCAGCGCAAGTTTCCAGCCAGACGGGTCCCAGTCGTAAAAATCCGAACCCGGCTGCAGAAAAAACCTGCTGGCAGTGTGGCAGTCTCACCAGCCCCCCCTTCATCATCCTCATTGATCCCCCCCTGCCTCAGCCCCCTGCTCCCCGCTCCTCAAGCCCGTAGCCCTCCTCTTCGATCCCGACTCCTCCCAGTTACATTCGTGACCCTCAAGTGGATTCCAAGGCACGAGACGAGCACGACAACGCCGCCGACGGCGACGACGGCGACGAGGCTCCCGGAACCACCCGAGGCCCCCTCGGGGCCTCTAGAGGCCAGATCTGGGGCTCTCGCACGGCAATCCTCGCTTCTTGGATCGAACAACCAGGCCTCGGTCATCGGCCCTCGACCCGAACCTCTAACCTTGAACCGAGCAGTCGAAAACCACAACCGGGTGATAGCCGTGATATCTGTAGCCTGGCTTGCGCCAGAACCACCCGAGGGGGCGGAGCGGGACGTGGACAACCGTCAAGGCTCTGGGCGCCGGGCCTCTCATCCATGTGCCCTGCCCCGCCGGGCGGCCAGAGTGAGGGGGCAGCAGCAGGGGACGTGACCGACCCTTGCTCCCCGACGGACCCTTCACCCTCGAAACGATCATGCCCGAAGCGCCAGTTGAGCAGGGACCGACCGTCCCGGCAGTCTTATAGGCCTACCACGACATGTTCTTGGAGCCAAAACATGTTCTCCAAACAAAGACAATGTTACGAGACAGTCCCAGCCAGAAGCGTTTCAAGAACATCTCGTGGAGACCACAAAAGGATCTTAGAACATTCTCTGGTTGGCCTGTAGGCGAGCCAGGACGCATCGCCACTGCTTGACTCGAAGCGATCACGCCCGGAGCTCCAGGGCTAGAGGACCACATGCGAACCCTACCCCTACCCCCCACGATTTCTGAGGGGGAGGGTGGGGTCCACTTCGCTCGGGAGCTTCCGAACGAACTGAACCCCACCCTCCCTTCCAGACTCGTGGGGGGTAGGGGTCGGGGTCCACCAAAGGGGGGGGACCCTAACGGGAGGGGGAGTTCGATCCGCTGGTGCATCGAATTCCCGAAGAACAATGCCCCCCGCGCGCCCCGAGTGTTGACGAATCTCGGGTTCCGGCGGCGGCCAGAGACCTCGTTTTGCATCCATTTGTCTGCGGTTCGATGCGCCAACGGACCGAACTCACCACCCCCCTGTGGCACCCCCCCCTTGCGAGGTCCCGATCCAGGGCGGCAGCGGCGGCGGCAAACGTCGGCCCGCCTGGCCCTCCGGCCGCGCCACGTGCCACCGCACCGCCGGAGGCGGAGCCGACGGCGGGCGGGAGCCGGAGGCGGGCGCGCCTGGCGCGCGGGTGGGGCGGGGGGGGCCTCCCGTAATTGAGGCAAATTACGCAGAGGCCGCCAGGAGCAGAGTGGTGCTGGGAACCTCCCGCAGATAAGCGTGGAATTGCGGGAGGTCCACACAGGCTGCTCGCAGCTCGTAGAGCACTGCCTCTGGGCACCTTCCTCTATTTGGTCACTTGCAAATGCTTTCTGGTGGAAAAACCGGGGTGGAGGGGTTGGGCGCCCGAGTTATCCAGGGTAACTCGGGTCCGTGGTAACTCGGGTTCGGATTCCCGAAAAACGAACCCGAGTCAGCCCTGACTCGAGTTACCCCTGATGATTCGGGGCTCTGGACGCCCGACTTATCTGGGGTACCTCGGGTCCGGGGTGCCTCGGGTTCGGAATCCCGACAAACGAACCCGAGTTAGCCCTGACCCGACCCCTGATGACTCGGGGCTCTGAAGGGGGGTTACCACCTGGAGGGTCGCCGCTTTTGAGGCACAGCGCCGCGTCCTGAATAGAGGCCTCCTAGATGGAATCGGAGTTGATGGGGTCGGAGGGTCGCGCCGCATCGCCGATGCGTCGGCGATGCACTGGCGACGCAATGGCGACACATCGTCGACGCTGGCGTGGAGAAGATCGGGCTCCACATCGAGCCGCACCGTCGATGCATCGGCGATGCGGCGCGATCCGCCGACCCCATCTACTCGGACCCCATCTAGGAGGCGTAGACTCAAGGAAGTGGCCCCCCCAGAACACTCCAGAGCCCCCAGGGACAACTCCGATCGTCCAAAGAATCTCGAGCTTCGATCCTGGGAATCTTCAGTCGGGGATGGACAGAACCCCCTTTAGTAAAACGTGGTTTAGTGAAAACGACCGCGGGCCCAAACCTAAAGGGCGCAAGCCTGGAGAATCACGGCCGCGGCGCCCTCTCGAGAACCGAAAACAGACAATTCACTAATCGACGTGTCAGGTGGGGGTTCTGTCCACCCCCGATTCCAGGGAACCTGGTGACCTCCTGAGTGGTGACCCCCTTTGGCCTGGCCGAGTGAGGGGGGGAGGGGGTGGGGAGGGCGGGTGAGCTCCAACATCGCCAGGAACGGCAAGCCTTCCACTGGTCCTCCTGCTCCTCCCGCTCCTCCTAATCCTGCTCCGGCTGCTGCTGCTCATCTTCCTCATGCTCCTTTATTTTGCTCGTCCTCGTGCTCGTCCTCCTGCTCATCCTCTTGCTCATCCGCAACCTCCTCCTCCCTCTTGAATGTACACAGCTCCCTTTCTCTGACTGCGCATCCAAGTAATGGGTCATTTTGATGATTTCAGGTCCACTGTGACAACAGTCGATAGATAGACAAAATCAGCGCAGTGGGTAGGGATAGGTGAGATGGGTAGGATGACAGATATGCCGCGAGCGCACCTAGCTTGTCATCCTCCTCCTCCTCCTCCTCTCCCTCCTCCTACTCCTCCTCCTCCTCCTCCTCCTCCTCCTGCTCCTCCTCCTCCTCCAACGCGCTCCTCCACCGCGCTCCTCCGCCGCGCTCCTCCTCCACCCGTCTCCTCCTCCTCCTCCTCTTCCTACTATTCCTTTTCCTCCTCCTCCTCCTCCTCATCATCATCATCATCATCATCCGCCTCCTCCTCCTCCTCCTCCTCCTCCTCCTCCTCCTCCTCCTCCTCCTCCTCCTCCTCCTCCTCTATGCTCCCTTCTCCGCGGAAGAGCGGGCAGCCCCCATCCCCCATGTCGCCTTGCGGCCAGCCGAGGACGCCCGCGGGCGTAATGAACGACGAAGGCGCGGCGGCCGCCTCCAGGAGGAGGGGGAAAGCCGGCGTCGTCGTCACGCCCGCCGCCGATGCCGCCGCCGCCGCCAGTCGACGGCGTCGAAAAGATCTTCGGCCGTCGGCGTCATCGCCAGGCCCACCGCTGCCGCCGCCACAGCCACCGTCATCGTCGGCGTCGTCATCGCCGCCGCCGCCGCCGTCGTCGTCGTCGACGTCGGCGTCGGCCTTGTCGTCCGCGCCGGCGTTGGCGTCGGCTTCGGCGTCGTCGGCGAAAGCGTCGAAGCCGTCACGGCCGCCGCCGCCGCCGCCGCCGCCGCTGCCGCCGCCGCAGCCGTCGTCGTCGGCGGCTCGTCAGCATCAGCGTCAGCATCGTCGTCACTATCGCCGTCGCCGTCGTTCTCGACGGAGGGGAAAGAGAAGGAGGAGGATGAGGACAAGTGTAAACCCAAGAATCATCAACGATGTTGGAATAAACCCTCATAGCTCCTTCTTCACAGGCCTCTTCAACGGTTCACGTCCATTGAGGGAACTGCCTCGTTGGAAGACAACCGTTTGAAGACCCTGAAGCATGCCAAAATATTGCTCTCGGGGTTCCAAAACCACGGATCAACCTGACTGCTGCGTTTTGAAGATCCTGAATTGTGCCAGAACGTCATTCTTGGGATTTCAACACCGCGAACGAACGTAATTGCTGAATCCTCATAATCCTGGACCCGTCCAAAACACAATCTCTGGTACTTTGATCCAAGGGAATCCGTGAACCGGGTGCAAATGTTTGGAACGAATGTGCGAGGCGCTAAGGCGGGAGCCACATGTTGAAAAGGAACCGCCCTAATGCGCGAAACTCTTGCACATGTTTAAAACGAATGTGCGCGGCGCTAAAGCGAGAGCCACATTTTGAATACGACCCGCCCTCCTTCTGTGAAACTGCTGTCAATGTTCAAGCTTCAGGGCCATAAATGGTGAGGAGGTCTCAGGCGAAACGCCCGGCCCGCCCTAAAAACTTGCCTCGGGGTGCGACAGGGTGAGCTATTCATCAGGAAAAGGAATGGAGGAGGAGAAGGAGGAGGATGAAGAGGAGGCTGGGGAGGAGGAGAAGGAGGAGGAGGACGAGGATGTCCAGGGGAAGAGGGAGGGACAGGACCACGAGGAACGAGGGGGACCAGGGCGGACCTGGAGAAGGGGACAAGCAGGACGCAGAGGAGGACGATGTGGGGGCAGGAGGAGGAGCAAGGAACAGGACGAGGGGGGCGAGGGGGGCGAGAGGGACGCCAAGGATGAGAAGCACGAGGAGGACGAGGAGGGAGGCGATAGGGGACGAGGGAGGACGAGAAGGACGGGTGGAGGAAGGAGAAGAACGGTGGGGGGAAGGGGATGAGAGGGGCGAGAATTAAATAGGTCGGACATGCCCCCCTACACGCGGATTTTGGACGAAAATTCAAAAATACCCACACACACACACACACACACAAAAAAAAAAACGATCCAACAATAGTGTAAAAATACTTGGAAAATCATCTCCAGCCTAATTCTACTGTTTTTGAAGATTCCTCCTGTAGAGGGGAGAAGCGAAGCGAAGCGAACGCGGGAGTCGTGCGCGCTCCACTGAGAAGCCCGCCCGTGCCCCTTAGGGCATGGCGTGGAGGCCGTGGCCTCAAAAATGTGATACGTAGGCGGGCTCACGTGATGACCACCACTCCGATTACCGACCTGCGCGGGGGGCCGCGGCCCCGGATTCAATCATTGTCGTCGTCGTCACCGTACTTGTCGTCCCATCTCTTCAGGCCCTGCTTGAACCATGCCGGGGCTTCTCGATTTAAGGCCCGATGTAAGGCGAGAAGACAGAAGAGCACGAGGGGGGGAAGAGACGATGAGGAGGACGAGGGGCACGCAGAAGACGAGTAGTGGTGGGGGGGAAGGCCAAGGGACAGGCCGAGGCTGTATAAGCAAGTTGGAGTGGCCCCCGAGCGGGTGGTGGAACGAACCCCCCGAAAAGGGTGAAGATGGGTGAAGTGAAGGCCCCCGTACTCCTGTTCCTCCTCATTCCTCCCTCCCTCCCTCCCTCCCTCCCCTCTCCCTCCCTCGCTTGCACCCTCCTCCTCCTCCTCCTGCGCCTCCTTCTTCTCCTCCTCCTCCTCCTCCTCCTCCTCCTCCTCCTCCTCGTCCTCATCCTCATCATCTCCCCTCCTATCAATCTCTTCCTCCTCCTCCTCCTCCTCCTCCTCCTCCCCGCCGCCGCCGACGACGACGAAAACAGCGACGACAACGACGAGGGCGGCCAGGCACTCTGCCAGCCCCCAGGGCTGGGAGGACAGGGTGTTGGGAGGCCAGGACGCACCGTCCCCGGCAGAGAGGATCTCGCAGAGGCAATTCTCGGTGCCGAAGTCATCGCAGAATGCCGTCGTGGTTTCTTGGGTACTCCAAATCCCTCATTAATCGCCCCCCGGGTCAGATTTTTCTAAGGCGCCTTTTTTGTAACTGGGGTGTCCGGTTTATTCGGGCGCTTTCTTTTTTATTTTTCAAGACAAAACAACAAAAAAACGCGGACAGCCGATGATCAACGTACAACTTGTCTCCTCGACTTGACTGTCAGATTAAGATCCGCTTCCCCTCGCGGGGGCTATAACCGCATCCATCGGAAACAGTCTAGGGCACGAAAGCGACAGCGCGAAACAGTGGCCGGCCGGGTAAACGTCGCCACATTCAGGGAAGAGGAGCAGGAGGAGGAGGAAGAGGGGGGTGAACCGAAACACGCCTCAGGCGAACTAGTAAATGACCCGACGCTCGAACTGCCAGCCATCAAATGCAGAGGCAAGCAAGAGACTGCTCCGAGGATGGGCTGGCATCCCCCAGGCAAACAGCAGCTCGCGAGTGCGCAGACCTGGCTGGACTATATCCGAGGTGCTCACACTCAGGTCCCACACGAGCGAAGAAAGAGGAAAGGAAGAGAGGAAGGAGTGGAAAAGGAGCTAGAGAAATCAGTACATATCAAGGATCCCCGCACCGGGAAGACGAGCAGAGTGCGTAGATCAGCAGGCTCCCATGCTGGCGATGCTCACATTCGGAAGTCGCCTGGACTGGCTGGGCTAGAACATTGCACCAGTTCTCAAAGTGCGGCGCTGTATGCGACTCGGCGCGACGCCGAGCCACCCCGAAACAGCTGCAAGGGCCACGCGTGCCAGAGACGGCTCACTACAAAATGAACGGCCTACTGGACCGGGCGGCCGAAAGCACGAGCAGGCAGGCCCGGGCCTGCAAGCAGCACCGACGGCGCTAATTTGGTGACACATGCGGCCACCAAGCGCGCCCTAGGCGCGCCGACGAGGACGGTTAGCCATGATCCCCTCACCTCCAGGACCGATCTATGACCAATCGGTTTTAAGCGATTTATGCGACGCGGGCGGGCGGAGAGGCGAGGAGAAGCGGAAGAAGAAAAACCGAGGGGAAGAAACGGACAGAGAGGCGACCACGACATCGCACGAGTGACCCGAGCATTCCGTGACGGGACGCGGCAGAGACGGACCAGCGACTTTATTTACAGCAGAAACGCAGAAGTAAAAAAGCACCGGCGAGGGAAAGAGCCACCGGCTTAAAGGCCCAGCGGGCCTCACACATTAAAAACACCAGTCTTCAGCGACACCCGGTGTTTTTGGAGAGGGCGCTCGGATAGGAAGGATACAGCATTGGGCTCCCCAGCGTTCCAAAACTGCTACCGGCGAGCACTTTTGACCGGATGCTATAATTCACGAACCAAACGCACCGCAGGGCGCGCCGGGGAGGAGGGGGAGGCGGAGGCGGAAGAGACCCGGAGGGAGAGGAGGAGGAAACGGGCAGAATAACAAGATGCAAAGGCGGCGCTGACGCTAAAGAAACTAGCGGATCGTCACCCGCAGCGCGTTCGCGCAGACAGCGGGGCCGCGGCCCGCGACGCGCCTGCATCGACAGCCGGTCAGGCACACACTGGCCGTCAGAAGCGCCCGACGCCGCAACTCAGGAACCGTCTGATCGCAGCGGGGCGGCGCCAAGAGCGGAGGCCCGGCGAGCCGCGCCTCCCGCGAAGCTGGCCCGGGCAACCCCAGCAGGTCGGCCGCTGCCGCGGCGACGCAGAGGCAGTCGGCGCAATGCCCCACGGAGTCCTCGCCGTCCGCGCACCCGAAGTAGCAGCCCGCGCGCTGCTGAAACCGCCGGGCGGTGACGCATCCGTTCCAGAGCGTCCGCAGGCGTGCCGCCAGCGCCCGCGGGGGCACTCGCCTCGCCACGGCGGAGCACGCGCGCAGGTCGCGAGCGGTCATTTCTCCCCCTGCAGGCCACAGGGCCAGCGCGACAGCCGATGCCGCAGGAAGCGCGCCAGAGGCGCGGCCCTGTCGGGCTCGATCATGCGCGCACGTGCGCTGCCACGCCTTCTCCAAGCGCAGCGGGTCGGACGCGCCCGCTGGCGGTGCCACTTGGCGCGGGCCCATCGCGCGCTGCTGGAAGTAGCTCCGGGCCGCGCCCAGCTGGAAGAGGACTGAGCTGTCGAACCAATTGCTCCAGCGCCCCAGACGCGCGAGAGACGCCGTGCTGTGCAGCCGCGTCGCGCGCAGCCCCGCTGCCCTGGCGGCCGCGCGCAAGCCTCCCTCCGTCGCCGCCCCCCATGGGCAGCCCGGTACTTGGCCGCCAGCGCCGTCGCGGGCAGGTCAGGAAGGCGCGCGGGGGGGCCCATGATGAGAGGGAGGCCATGCAAGGCGGCTGCAGGCGCCCACCGGTTGGGCCCGACGTGGAGGAATTCCAGCGCAGCGCTCTCCAGCTGCCCCCACTTCGAAGGCGGTGCGTCCAGCTCCGGGGAGACGCGAGACTCGGGCGCGGGGGACTCGGGCTGGCCTGACGGGGCCATAATAAATGACGAGGCCCAATCTGAAATTTGACGCGAGCTCCCGCTGCAAACATCCCACGAAAACGGGACCGTCAAAATCCAGGGCGCGCTCGTCAAAAAACGCTGGCGAACCCGAGTTCTGGCTCACTCGAGTCTCACGTTCCCCCGACAGCTGCGCGAGGAAGCTCATCGTGGAGAAGGCGCACATTGAATATCGAATCGCGCTGGCGAACATGCCGCCCCGTGAGCGGCCCCACTCGCGGGCTCTGCGGAGGTATTTGGCGCCGGCAGCGCCCTGGCCTTGTTCTCCTCGCTCGAGCCCGCCCTGAGGTCTCAGAACCTTTGTTTTTGAAGTCTTGTTCGAAGACCTAATTTTAATGAGGTCGAGTTTTGCGCGCATTTGCGCGCCCTGTGTGTTTTCTATGTGCTCATCGTTGGTGCGGGCAAAACGCCCGTAATTATGATAAAGTTCTGACGCGCAACGCGCGCGCGTCTCTATTGCAATCTGAACGCGGCCGCGGCCGTCCATAATCCGAAAATTTCATAAGAGGGAGGGCGCGAGGAGCAGGAGGGAGAGGAAACATATGATGAAAGGATGGGAAAGAGGAAAAGGCGAAATGTTTAATTGGCCATGCGCCGCGCCGCCGACCGCTTTGGGGCGCCAGAAACGGCGAGAGGAGGACACTGAGGATTTTCTGTTGCTTCGCGTTCCCCCCCCATTCTGTTTTCCCCCCTCCTCTTCTGCCGTCCCCCCCTCCCCCCCCCCACTGATCTTTTGTTTCCCGCGATATTTGCACCCCCGTGTTTTTGTTATTTATCATTCTCGTTCTTTCTTGACATCAAAGCATCCTCCGTTCCTATGACTGTTTCGCTCTTGATGGCCACGTTCTTCGGTCGTGATGCGTCGATCCCGCGACCGATGGGGGGCTTAAACCTCTTGGGAGCCTCTTGGGGGTCGTTTGGGGGCCCGCAGGTGGCCGCAGGCCTATTGGAGGGCCTCTCGGGGCCCTGCTGCACGGGCCAATTGCGGCACATTTCGCGCCGTTTCGGCACGTTTTCGAATGAATGAAGACGAGGATGAGGAGAAGCAGGAAGAGGAACGGGGGGAGGACGAGAAGGAGGAGGCGGAAGAAGGATCGAGGAAAAGCAAGGGGAGGAGAAAGGGAAAGGAGGAGGCAGGGGAGGAAGAGGAGAAGGATGATGATGATGAGGAGGAGGACGAGGAAGAGGAGGAGGACAGGAGGAAGGGGAGGAGGAGGAGGAGAAGGAGGAGGCATTGTTCCTAATCGAGCCAGCGGCGCCACTAGGGCACCTCTGTCGGATCCTAGTGCCCCCAGGATTCAACATAGCCCCAGGCTAACCCCCCGAAGCTACATAATCCTGGGAACGGGCCTGCTGGGCCCAACATGAGAGCAGGTTGTGCCGCGGCACTCGAGAGCTCACGTTGTCTACATTCGCCCGTAAGCGGGGGAGCATAAATGGCCCTCCAGTCGAGAGCTCACGCTGTCTAGATTGGCCCTCCAGGCATTTCGTAAGCCTGTATGTGTGTGTGCGTTTGTATGTATGCGCGTGCGTGTATGTATATATGCATGTATGAATGCATGCATGCATGTATGTATGTATGTATGTATGGACGTATGTATGGATGTATGCATGTATGTATATATATATATATGTATGTATGTGTGTGCGCGTGTGCTAATGTATGTATGAATGTACGTATGTATGTACGTCTGCATGTATGTGTGTATGGATTTATGTATGTAGGTGTATGTCTGTCTGTCTGCCTGCCTGCCTGCCTGTCTGTCTGTCTGCCTGTCTGTATGTATGTATGTGTGTATGTATATGTAGTTATGAAGGTATGTACGTAAGTGAGTGCGTGTATGTATGGATGTATGCATACACGTATGTATTTTTGCATAATGTATGATGGATAATGCGTGTGTGCATGTATGTATGTATGGATGGATGGATGTCTGCATGTATGTATGTACGTATGTGCGAATCAGAGTTGGGGTGATCATGATGTTTCGCACCAGCAAAGACGACGGGTAACCCGCCTAGCAGGATGCTTGCCGAGAGCCTGCGGCGTGCGTGGATCGGAGCCTCCGGGCCTCCTTCCTCCATCAGTCCTGTCCCTCCATATCGTCGTCCATCCCTCCTCCTCTTCCTCCACCTCCTCCTCCTCCTCTCGCTCTTCCACCTTGCTTCCACTATTACCCCTCCTCCCTGGCATCCTTGCCATCTCGTTGCTCTTGGAGGCCCCTGCCCTCGAGGCATGCCCACGCGAAAACGGCAAATCAATGCAAGCAACCACATGTTTACACACGTGGGCAGTCGAAACAGCGTGCAGCTCTGCAAACGCATGCGCGAACACAGCGCATCGCGAGAAAGATGCAAGGCCTGCGGCATCTGCGATAACCAGCGCGATCACATCGCAGAACGCTGCAGGGTATTCCTGGGAGCTCTTCAAACTGGTTCTGCGTTTCGTGTACCACACATCATGCTTCCAGCCGCCAGAGGTTGCAGCTGGGCGCTTCGCGACTGCCTTCGAAGACTTGGCAGTGCCACTGCACAAGGGGCGCACACGTTTGCCCATGTGTACCCGAGCTGCACGCATTGAAAAAAAAGCAAGTCTGCTACGCACACGATCATAAAGGGGCAGGGTCGTGAAGATCCCAATGGGTTTGATGCTCGAAGTTCCGAAGCAACCGAGCATGGTGACGATGCGCTCTGCAAAGACAGTTCGTAGTGCTGACCTGCAAACATCGTGCAAGTAAAAAAGGGAATTCATCGGCTGCTCCGCGATAATGTAAACACCCCGTGAAGCAGCGACCACCATTATATACGACCTCCCCTGAGTTGGAAAGCCGCTAAACGCGGTGGGTCGCGAACATAATGACACCATGCAAGATTTTGGACATGCTTTTTGTTACCATCCTGCCATCATGCCTGATTCCCTTCCTTCAGGTTCCTCCTTCCTTCCCCCTGCCGCCCTTCTTGCTCTTCCCTCTGCCCGCTGTATGTCCACCGACACGCGCGGCCCTGCCAGCATTCGCTGACTCGCGTGCGCAGGGGCAGTAGCAGAGCAATAGAATGAAATTGCACGATTCAAATCAGACACCGAACGCATATATTGCAACAGACAGATAATCTCAGGGTGCTGCTCCCACCCCTCCCCACACGAACGATGCCACGTGGTTCCCCTCGAAAACGTTGAAACTGGCGATGTCTCCGTACGTGTCTGCGCGCGACCGTCGAGACTGCGCCCGTGCCATCGTTGCCCACGTCGAACATTGCGGGCTGAAGTGCACGCAACCCCGAACAAGAATGGCCCCGATCATCCACAGCGCATAGCCCATCCCCACGAGTCGGCAAGCACATTGTTTGTCATAGTCACGGCGCTCGAACGAGAACGACTCAGCATTGTAAGTGCCTCTCAACGCCTTGGTGATGCCACCAGAACCTGAGAACATTTCCAAACTG